AACTTAACTTTACAAGTTCATAAAAAAAAAATCTTTAAGTATTGAACATTATCATAAAATTAGTCGAAAAAGCTTATCTTAGGGGGATTTATTATAAGCCAGTCGTTGTGCAAAATACCAAGGAGCCCAAGTAGCATTGCAAGCTGTATAGAGGCTGTATATAGTTTATTTGACCACTATAGGCTGTACTCCACACAAATCTTACACTTGCGTCACGCTTTAGGCTATATATTTTAACGCTATTAAACTTAGGGGTAAATATTTAGAATAAAAATCCTAATGTGGGAAAGAGACAAACAACAAATGTCAAATGACATGACATGATGAAGCAAGGTTGTCATCATGTCATGTCATTTTGACATTTGTAATTGATAATTTGACAAATGTAAACAATAAAATAAAATTTTCATAATTTTATACGGTTAAAGTCGCAAGAGAACAGCTAGTATATGATAATTAAATGTTATTAGTCTTCATGTCATGTGTGAAATAAGAAAAAGTGGATATGTGACCGTAGGGCATCATGGCGTAGGGCATGGCGGGCGGGAAGGACATCTGCGGCGTGCCCAGCAGCCGCTCCATCGTCTGCGAGTGGCTGTTCTGAGTGAACTGGTTCGTGCGCGCATCCTATATTAAATATATTTCAACATTAAAAAAAAAAACAGTAAAAACATCAAGAAGAAATACTGTTGAAGCCACGGCAAAATACTAAAACGAATGATAACTACGCTTCGTAAGCTTACAATATGACTAATGTTAACTTTTTAATGCAATATGGAATTTAAGTGTGGCTTTATTAACGCTGTTACACATTGAAATGTCGTTTCAATATTCGGCACTAATCCATGCCAAGGTTGCGCTACTATCTAACAGTAACAGTCCAAGTGTGAACCAGGCATTCCAGTTGTATGTCTCTTAGTATCGGTTTCTCATTTAATCCAACTATCTATCTAAGGTAAGTTATTGTATTATAGGTAATATTTTATAAAAATAAATTGGTATATAATTTACCTGATTAGTTTTAGCTCCGTTCCAACATTGAGGCGGTAGCTGTCCATATGGCATGTTCGTGGGATTGTCGCCTAAAAAAATATTTTTCTTAACATACTTGATATTATTAGAATGGAAATATCGACCGAGAATTATTGTTTTTTTTTTCAAATATAGGATTGTTATAATTTAATTTTGTTAAGTAATAATTGAAACTAATTTGTTTCATACCACTTGGTGCGACGGGTGATGCCATATTAACGTTGGATTCTGGTCTCGGCTCATGACGAATATTGGGTGTAGCGTTATTCACTTGAGGTGTCTGAAAAATAACCATAAATTAATTTATTTACTTTGCATTTTTGATAAACAAACGAAATATTTAAAATAATAATAATAAAAAATAAAAAACTTACATTATCTTCAGACTGACGATCTTGAGTCTGGCGACGTCGTGGTCTATTCCTCTGATTTGATTTGTTCCTTGAAGCACTGAAATTAAAGATCCTATATAATTCACTAGTTGTTGCTCGCGACTTCATCCGACCCGTTTTAAAAAAATGAATATAATATAGCCTGTGTTACTCAGAGATAATATAGCTTTTCTCAGTAGTTTTTGAGTTATTAAAATACATACAAAAATTCAAAAATACAAATCTTATTGCTTTATAATTATAGTATAGATATACAAACTACTTTTGGTCGCCACTTCGTCCGCGTTCAATTAAAAAACAAAAGTAATTATGTGTTCTTCTAAATCTATGTTAAATTTCATCGATATCCGTTTAGCAGTTTAGGCTTCAAATTTTAAGAAACATCCATCCATCCAAACTTTCGCATTTATAATATTAATTAGGTTACTAAGAAGTAAGATATGATAAATTACCTGTCAGTATCGCTGCCATAGGCACTCTCCAAGCAAGAAGGCACTATATTAATAGATCTGCCGCCGACAGCGCTGTCTCCGCCGCCCTTTAAACAATACCATTTTGTTAATAAAATATTAAACAATTTAATAATGAAAACATTTGAATTCTGAACTTCGATAAATTATGAATTTGTCAAACATTTTAGAAAAAACTATTACCCGATAGTTTTCATTTTCCCTCGATGTTTGTGAATCCAGTGGCAGTTGTTCAGATCTCGATTCAGGTTCTTCTTGTTCACTAAAAATTTAATATTTTATCAACACTAGTATAGTGATTTTTTATATCGAAACAAATAAAAAAGCGTAGAATTTAATTTAAAAGTAAATACCTATTGTAAGACTGGTTAACAACCGACATCGCTCGTGAATCCGGTTTGTTCTGTGTCTCCGCTCCCACACAAAGAACTTTCTGGAATTAGATCATTCAATTAACTTCCATGTCTTGTGTCACTATGCTGTCATCCAAATTTTTATATTACATTCAATCTATTGTAATTTCTCTTTAACTTCAATTGTATTAATAGTGATATTACGTCGATACGGTGGCAAACGAACCATCTTTTCGACGTAACAAAGCGATTACTGCCTATAGACAGATGTGTTTTTTGAATCGACGGAATATTAGTTCCCTCTACCGTCAAATCCACTGAAATGAAGAGTGGGAACGGAAAAGGGGACTAAAATTAAATCTCTAAAAACTTCTTTCGCGAGGAATTTATAAAAAAACTCAGTAAGTAGTCTATGTGTTTGTGGAAGTACCTTTAATTGTTTTTTGGGATACAGAGTAATACATACATCCATCTACACTAGCAATTTTAAGATAAGATAGTAATAAGTAAAATTGATCTATTTAAAAGGAACAATGCAAAGGTAGAATCAAAAATAATTCCATCACCTCCTTGTTAAGCAGCGCCTCCAGCTCGCGCTGCTTGTCGGCCAGCAGCGCGCGCAGCTGCAGCTGGCGGCGCTCCGCCGGGCCCGGCGCGCCGCTCGGCCCCGCGCGCACCTCCTCGTTCACCTTCTTCTGCTTTCTGCTCACTTCTGCAATACACACACACTATCAACATGATGCCACTTAAACCATGCTATGTTAAAAACGCTCATTTACAAAAAAAAATATGACTTATCACACAACAAAAATACATATCTTCTCTCTAACGGTACTTCCATATTAACACATAAATTATTATAAAACCAAGGTGCAAATGGCAAAATTGTCAATCAATCAATGTTTTTTAATGGAATCTAATCAATATCTATGTTATGTTAATTGAACCTTTATTGGAGACCATGTCTTTAATGCGCGCGCGCTCGCCCATTATCTTTTCAGTCTCCATACGCAACTCCTGTGCGAGTTCTTGAAGACTCGCGAGATTCGCCTCGTGACCTGTATTGAGAAAAAAATATATCGTCCCAATATATTGATTATCAAAATACAAAATGTATCTAATAACTTACTGGCTTGTTGCTGCTGTTGTTGGAAATGTTGTTGTTGGCTGAGATGATGTTGTTGGTTGAGATG